GCAAGTTTTGGCTCAAAATACAGCGCAGATTGCCAATTCTTCCATGATAAAAATGGACTAGTTTCGTGTCTTGAAAAGAAATAAGCTGCCTACGCCCTCTCAAGAAGAAAACAAGGCAGAATGACTTTAGTTACGTATTGTAACCTCAGATTTAAGTGTAAGTGTAGCCCTTTAAGAAGCATCCACTGGGAATAGGTGTTTGAACAGAAATTGAGCCAAAATCATAATAAGAAAAAAACTCCTGTAGGATCTTTTAAGTTACACAAAGCACAATGTTTTCATTAAAACGTTGTGACATGAGGCTTTTTATACGATAACAAATCTCTTTCAATTAAGATAAACAGCGTCACGGAGATGGATAACTTTCTTAGCAGCAGTTATGCTATTGGCCCACTTCAGCACAACAACTTCCTTGTTCGGACTCCCCATGTGACTCTACAGACCAATCAGAAGCCAGGAAGTCCTAGACTTAGGTAGATGCGGGAAAACCAATGAGATAGAGTCAACACATTATTATTATTGTTTTGAAAGGTGTATATGTAAACATTCAAACATGTAAATGCCCAAAACACATAAACACTAAATATAAATGGAAATGTGTATATAAATAGCTACGGTTCATTTTAACATGTGCACCATTAATGAAATGCTAATAAAGGAAGGAGCTAAGACAAAGTTGTATGTTTTTATAGTTCGCAGTTTAAATATCGGTTATTTTTGAGAGTGACTTTGAAGTTTAGTTTTTATTATTTTAAACGAATGTAGAAGTTTTTAATATTAGTTTTTCTTATTACAATATTAAGGTAATTTTTATAATAAGATTTCTGAGTTCTGAAAGCTAATATTATTCATGCAGAGCACTTTATTTTCACACTTGCACAAATGCTTTCTCGTGCTATTTCTGTTCATAAATTTGACATAAATCTTGACAGATTACTAAAACTAGTTTATTAAGTATGCACTATATAGTTTTAGTCTTGCAGTAACTTTTATTAAAGTCTGTGTTCTTTGGTTTCAAATTGGTCTGCATTTCTACAATTTCGATATAGCTGAGGCCGTGGACAGTCATGGTTCTAGTTTGTTGGTGATCTAGCTAAACCAAACCAACCAGACTCTATCAGTGTCATGACAGAAATAATCTGACAGCAGCAGCAACAACAGTCCTATAAATAAATAAAACATTAATCCATAAATGCAGGAAACCATGTTTATTTTGGAGTTAATGCCAAAAAGTTGATCATTTATGAAGTGTTCTGTAAACTGTAAAAACTACTGTATATGTTCTCTTAGCCTGATATGAATGCTAACAAGTCAATTACTGCTGTGCTGAATCTGTCTTGGTTTATTTCTCCTCTTCTTCTTTTTTCTTCTTTCTTTTTTCACTCCCAGAAAGATGATGAGAGGCTTTCACTGATATCGTTAGGTTTAGACAGAATCACACAACCATTCAGGAAGTCAGGCCTCTCGTACTGTCACTGCAAACTTTTGCATTTCTCTAGTTTGACCTCAGTCCCCAAGAACTTGCCTGCCTTTCCTGGTGGCCTCTCTGTCTTTGCGTTCAGCATCATTACATTAGCTACGTTAGCTACATTAGCCACACAACATGCTAAGGGTGAGGATTTTCTTTTTTTGTTGTTGTTGCACAGTGAAAATCAAGAATTACAGTACTCCACTCCAGTTCTCAGTCTTCAGTAGCTCAGATACAGGGAGCGCATAAGGACTCTTGTGTTCACTCTTGCAGCCAACAACTGAACATTTGGTGTGCAACGCCTATGGCTGAGACATTTTAAAGTTAAAGCTGGCAGAAGCTACTCTGGGGACTAAATAAAAATGGCGGACTGTGAAGCAATTGCTGATTTTAAAAAGGCATGTCCGTTCGTCAGCCAGGAGCAGTGCTTATCCTGTTCTGATGCCAAAATCACTGAAAGTGACTGCGAAGAAAACAGGCACCGGTGGTCTCTCTTTGTTGGTGCAAAAAAGGAACGAAGGAAAACACAGAAACAAAAGACAACAACAACAAACGTCCTCTTACATGGGAATCTATATCAAATCATTTGCTTCTTAGAGACAGTGCATGGTTGATGAGAATCTATCAGATTCAGATAGTGTCTCCAAACATTTTCTTATATGTACTTTAGACTTTTGGTAAAAACATTTGGTAAATGAGGGTTTTTTTCTTTTTCTAAAGTTAGTTTTTGGCATTTAAAAGACTGACGTTAATTAATATTTGTCCATTTTTTTTTCTTCATATTTTTATTGAGAGACAAGTGTACATTAGTTTACAATGACAATACAATCTGTTCCCCTCACA